CTACGAGATACTGACAAACTCATCGAATTCAGGTTAGTCCTCAACAACAGGATCTACTGAAGGAAGAAGAAACTGCAATAAAGGACAATTGGGATGGTATCAAAGGAGCAATAACTTTAACATGTCAGGAGATTCTGGATCGCAAGAAGTATTTTGATAACTTGAAATATACCTTTAGTCTTCGTTTCAACCATTTACAGTCATATATAGAAAAAATAATAATATGGAAAATCGTAGGACTAAATTCAACATCTCAGAAGGTTCTGGGTCGCAAGAACTATTTTGATAAGGAATATATCTCTATGGAAACCTTGGATAAGATTCAAGAAGGCAGCAGCAAACAGTAGTCGATCGCGAGCAGAGAAATTCAAGGCCCACGCAGAAGCAAACAAGCAAGTGAAGAAGTAAATTCGAGCTGACAAGCAGAAATACGTGGAAAACCTAGCAAGGACAACGAAAAAAGCCGCAAGAGATGGAAATATCAGACGGCCATATGATATAACGAAGAAACTGGCACGGAAATATAGTAAACCATAGAGACCAGTCAAAGACGAAGAAATCAAGACAATCAATGACATTCAAGAACACAGAAACAGATGGGTAGAATACTGAGGAACTCTTAAATAGGTTAGTTCCATTGGATCTACCGGATATCAAAGCAGCACCTACAGACATTCCTATCAATGTCACTCCACCAACGATCGAATGAATCAGGATGACCATCATACAAATCGAGAGTGGGAAAGCAGCAGAACCTGACAACATACCAGCTGAAGCACTGAATTCAGACAGAAGCCACTGCACAGATGCCCCACATTCTATTCAGGAAGACTTGGGGGAGGAACAAGTGCTGATAGACTGGAAAGAAGAATATCTCATCAAGGAAGAAAAGAAAGGAGATCTGAACAAATATGGAAACCACAGATGCATCACACTACTGTCGGCACCAGAAAAAATAGTGTTACTGAACTGGATGAACGATTCAGTAGACGCCCAACTTCGAGATCCACAGGTTGTATTCCGTAAGGGCTGGTCGTGCACAGACCAAATCGCAACACTAAGGATCATCGTTGAACAATCAATTCAGTGGAACTCGTCACTATACATCAACTTCATGGACTATGAGAAGGCGTTTAACAGTGTGGATAGGAGAACCTTATAGAAACTTGTTCGAGACTATGGTGTACCTGAGAAGATAGTCAACATCATCCAAAATTCATACGACAGACCTCACGACAAAGTCGTGCATGGAAGACAGCTGACAAACGCATTCCAAGTGAGGACCGCAGTCAGACAAGGCTGCTTACTCTCCCTCTTTCTTCTGGTGGTCGACTGGATTATGAAGACCTCGGCACCTGAGGGAAGGCAGGGACGGTTGACTGCAAAAGGATTGCATTATACACTTGCATTACGAAACCCAAAAGTATTGGAGATTAAAATATTACAAGCGCCTATTCCCATCAGCTATACAGGTCTATCTCTCCGTATTGCTGCAAATATAAAGAAAAGCAGTCAACGTCCAGCGAATAGTTTACTAAATATAATTCCTAACATCACAAGTAAAGTCGTTTAACTTTATTATGAATTATGGTTGCAGTTTAATTGACTGTTATTTCGCAAAGGAAACTCCTGTGTGTATCAAGACTTTGGCATATCCCGTCTAGAAACAAGTGTAATAATATCTGAGCTCGTGGACAACTAATCAAATAATGTTCCCTGTAACAAGAAGTCGTTCTTGAATTTCTGGCCTTGTTATGTTAAATTTTCAAACTTGAGGTAATATTCAGTATTGATATTTCTGCGTGAGCACAGTCCATATCAAAAATTTGTTTATGGGTAGTATTTCTCATAATTTCAGCAAAAGTTTGAAATCTATTTGACATCATCTGTCAACTCTTTCTTCGTCTAGGCAAACAACACAGGAGGACCATGTCCACAACTAAACTACATTTCATAAACAACAATTCAATTTTGACAGGTAGCCAGATAATTCAATCCTTTGTATTGACGAAATTATGATTTTTATTTGTTCGCTTACTTGCGTATTTGATGGCATTTTGTTCAATTTCTTGTGTACTTATCAATAAATTTTGTTAAGAGGTCCTAAATCAAGAGAAATAAACTGTTCTTTGCTTCTTGGCTATCATCAATAGTTTGTATACGACTCATCTCATGCATATTTAATTCTTTTCTTTTCTTTTGTTAGTATACAATTACGTACTTACACGAAATATGGATATACCACGTCGAAAATAATCCATGGACGTACACTGTCTGACAGTACGTTTGTATATCAGTAATAAAATAATCACTTTATAAGTACGTTAATTCGTTGTTACACTGTAAAATATATTGATTGAAATATCTTGGCGAAGTAAGCAGAAAACAGACAGACACATTTATCAGCTTTTTACGACATTTGGCATTCGTAAGCAAAATTTATCCTCAATCGTAAGAAAGGTTATGTGTATCTTGGAGATCAGACCTTGATCACCCAATTGTCACAATTAAAACCATTTTCAATAATCTACTTCTTAATCTTATTACCATACAGCTACTTACATAGTCTTGAATATATTTTATATAACGTAGTGAAACAAATAAGACAACAGATATAATAGTGTGTACATGTCGTATAAGCTCGTTAATTAATCTTTCCACCAGTTATTTCATCACCACATGTCACAACATGTTGTGTTTGATGTTCAGAAGTGTGACCAATTGAAAACTTATTAGTAACGCAACTAGATTCATATTGCCCTAATTATAACAATTATTTAACTTAAATGTCTCTGACAATACTATTAAGCTACAAAAACCATTCCCATCGTTGATACAGAATCAGTGGTATGGTTTATTGTTCATTATAATAAAAAAATATTTGGTACTATATAGTTAAACTTTAACTATTGATCTATTTCCTCATAAACTTTTTTCCATTTCAAATGTATGGTATTACTTATTAGCTACTATCATTTTGATCACATGTTGTATCTTGTGGTCATTGTTCATATTGGCTATATCCTCATTCGGTTTATTATATTATCGTCTTATTGAAAGAAGCACTATCCCCAAGAATAATGATATTTATAATAATATCGCAAGGGGAAAAATCAATAATAAATCAATAATTAATGAAGATATTTATTCACAGAAGATAATGGATCGGTTAGTTTTGTTATTTTTTCTTAAATAAACGAAAGAAAAATAATCATTTCATAACTATATTTCTGCATTTTCCGAAAATATTTTCGATTCAAAGATAGAAGATCGGCGTCACTTGAAGCATTAATGAGAAGCAGAGTACATCAGATAGATGTTCCATTCTAGCTTGTACTCACAACTCTACACTGGATTAAAAACTGGACCATTGAATCGTTACAAAGTCGCCTTAGAGTATCATACGCACTACGAAATCAGAAAATCTGTAGGTTGGTAAATTCACATTGTTTAGCAGTCCCTAGCCAAAGCAAAATAACCAGTGGTCTGTGTTTCTCATTAATGCCACAGTTAATTCTAGTCTGTAACAAAAACTATTTTTATGATAAAATTTTCTACATAAACCATCAAAGCGAACACTGGGTGTAGCTGTTTAAATTTAATACGATGATTATTATCAATTGTCTTCTTTGGTCAGTTTAATTATTTTGTAATTTGAGTTAAGATATATCTAATCTATTCATCATATGTAGTGTGGAATTCTAAAATGTATGCATATAACACTCAGTACATTGATTCAATAAAGTGATAATTATACAACCTTAATAGCTAATGTACAGGATAATAATTTTTACATCGTTGGTGTATCTTTAGTTAAACCATCTCTACTAATAAAATATTGAATATATGGTTTATTAATGTCAGATGTACTACTCATGAGTGATAGATTGTTATTCATTTAAGTAATTTTGGAAACACTCAAACAATCAGTTTACATTGAGGTGATAAATTCTGCGTTGCATTTTAAGATGAAATCAGAAATACTTAATACTTGGACGTGCTCAGTCACGTCAAAGCAGTTTTTATAGATTCGGTGACTAGAGGTAATAGACAGAAACTACTGGATGCGATTTAAATCGCATCTACGGTACTCAAGTAAGTGTTTTTCCATGGAATAAGTATCACTATCGCTCAGCATCATAGTCAACGACATTTTTACCAAAGTATTCAGGGTGCAGCTAATCTCGTAAAGCTAAGATTTTTTTGGTTAATTAGGCAAGATTATGATTTATGGCCGAACCCATCAGATTTAAGATAATGGGTCGATTTTTTCGTGAAATTTATTCATCCATTTGGTCAATTAGTATTTTGGTATTTTAGTGGATGCCATTTCGTGATGAATACGTTTAATCTAATTTCGAACCTTAAACATCAATCGTACAATTCCTCACAGTGATATGTAACCTTGCTGTAGCCCTATCAAGTAGTTGGACACCTCATGGTCATTTGAGCGTCGCTCGTATGTCCTTCGAAAATTGTGGTCTCAGCGTTTAATAATCACTGGGTAATTACTATGGTCTTTCTATGTGATGTTGAAAGATAATCAAATTCTTTCTGTCAGGTTCTAATATGACTCTATTTAAATCGCACATCCATTAATTTGCAACTTAGTATTACGTTAGTATTACAAGGGCTGTTACTTACCTATATGAACTTGTACTTTAATTAATCCTCTGCCATTTGATAAATATTATTCTTATTAATATAGGGCTTTTATGGAGATTAGTTCTAGAACTAGATGGCAGTTTTATCCTAATTTCGACCTTCTGAGTAATGTGCATCCACGAACCACCGTTGATCGGACCCTAGACATATTGTAGCGAGTGTGAACGCCTAACCTTTAGACCACTGAGCCGTCTAGTACATCCTGTTTATAAAGTGTTTCAAAAATTCTCGAACATAGTTAAACGGTAGTATAAATCCTAATGTAGACAATTCAGAATGATATATTATTTTACTCATTATGACAATTAAAAGTTTTCGAAAGCAAGTCAACTTACCATCTGGAAATGTGTACACTGTAATTGGGATCGATTCATTACTGTATATACCATAAATTGAGTCGATCGATTTCATATATACTGTGTAGTTAATACCAGGTAATAATGAAGTGATGATATATTCATTACAATGATTAGAGAAAATATGAGATTGTGTGAATAGGTCATTTATCTTTAAAGTAGGACGATAATATATTAAATAATATTTAATTATAAATGCAGAATCTTGTACTGGTTCAGTCCATTTAACAGTAAATTGATTAGATAAAATATTGGTTACAGTTAGATTAGTTGGTGCATTTGGTTCTTGTAGAAATTAAAAGTAAAAAAAGAATTTAAAAGTAAGGAGTTTCAGTAAGTGCTAATAGCTCGAATTCATAATAATAATAATAATACTCGAAAAATGTATTTGTAATAATATTCACTTGATAATCCAGTAGTTAGATATCAGGTATTGAAAGACTTTAGTAAGTCAAATGTAGGATTTGTAATTAAAACATTGAATTGATTAGTAAAATATATTACATTAATGTTTACGACTCATCTTTACTTTCAACAAAAGTGATTTTCATGCAACGTTGTGAAAGTTTTGAAAGCGATCTTCAGAACTAACTTGACATCAACTGAAGAACCACTGGGACCGGCATGTAATAGACATTTTATTAGTTATCGCGAAATACGATTGCCAATTTAGATACGCTGACTTATACAACTGAACTAATGATGCATACACCAGTACAGACAGCCTCGAGTTCTGATTGGTCTTTTTCCCTGCCTGTTTAGTCCAAAACGCCAATCTCAGCCTAAGCGATGCCAATCATATACTTCAAACAGTTTATATACAAGCAAAATCAGACAACATCACACCATAAAATAAAAATAAAAGTTTTTACAAGATCAAGCCAAAAGAGTCGGGGATAATGAGAATCTGTGACTAATAGATTGAGAATAACTTGCGAATACTAAATCATACAACAGTTAACCAATAGGTCAAATAAAAGCTTGTAATGAAAAGAATATGAATATACATATAATGTAGTTACTTAATAGTCATACAATAAGAATATTCGTATAATATTAGTCCATAAATAATTACCATTCATTTATTCTCGTCCGGATATAGCAAAAACCATTTAAAATGATGTATGAAAAAGACCTACGTGATGGATAGGTTGTTGCACTTATAGCATTAGACACATCACTATGTAATCCATACACAGAATCCTCAGATCTCATATACAAAGTGTATTGTCTTCCCGGTATCAGTGATGTCAAAATAAGTTCATTCGAAACATTACAAATTCTGTACTCGTCCAACCCACTCATCAGATGGATCGATTCACGTTTGTACACCCAAAAACAGTGAACATCAAAGGCTGGATGTTGTGGTGGATTTTGCCAGTGTAAGGTCAGTTTGTTCGGTGATATATGGCTGATAGATAGATTGACCGGTGTATTTGGACCTAACAAGGAACAAAAACGCTGTGTTTTAATTCTACTAGAAATTAAGCATGGTTTTAAAACGTTTGTATTTAGATATCACCATTTCGCGTTTTTTTCGTCTTGTATATTTACACCAAAACATATAAATGAGTTGTGCAGTAATGAAACAGGTATTGCTTAGAACCAACTACATGACTGAACAAATATTATTATTTAGTTGAAATAAAACACGGCAAAATAGGATTTATTCTTTTCATCCTAGTTTTTAATTATCAGCAAAAAACGGGAAGAGCGACGTCAGTGTCATTAATTTTGATTTCTATAAAAGTGTTATACAGTATCCCTTCGTCTAATATATTTATCGGTAAATATAAAAGTATTTGGCCAACAGAAATCTTTATCGAAGTTGTATGATTTATACCCATTTTAAATCGGTAGTAGTATACAGTAAAGTTATCACAACTATAAAGATTTTAATAGTGGTTCACAAAAAACCTAAGAATAGTTTACGTCTTGTCAAACCTTAGTTCAGGTAAGTGTGCCCATTTTACTCTAATTAGCTAATACAAGATAAAATACCGGTTAATATGTTAGACTCTTAATTAAACAAAAATAATATATTTGTAATATTGGATTAATTTTAATTTGGTTATTTATTCTCTGAAGAAGTGACTTACACTAAGTCACGAAACGTCAGAAAATCCAATTTTCTACTCATTGGGATATTACAAATATATTATTTTTATTTATAACAATCAACCCAATGCTCAATTTATTCGAAATTATCTTAATTAAACATTAAATTCCAAAATATCTGGCTAGTTACATCTTATTCAATTTTATGCTAGAGATTCTTATTGTTCCGTTTTACTATTTAAACTTAAATAAATTTTGATTTGGTTATCTATTCTCTGAAGAACTGGCTTACACTGAGTCACCAAACGTCAGAAAATCTAATTTTCCTACTTGTTAGGATATTACAAATATATTATCTATCGATTATTTAAGTTGCTTCCTTCACAATAAGCTTTCACATGGTCTGTTTTTAGGAACTATCAGTGAAACATTTTATACATTCATTTATTCAAAACTACATATATTAGCAATCGATTACATGATGTCCCTATATGATTTGTACAACTACATTTTAAAAACGTTTTTCGCATTTGTTTAACGTGCAATCATTTACAATTCAGCACATATATTGTAGTGCTGTAACTACTGATATATATAACATAATATTCAGTCACCACATAGTAACCAATAGTATGTTATCTAGTTTCGAGTGCCAGTAGAATCAAATCCTACTGCGAGTGTCAATTATCAAACGCTAACCGTCATAACACTAAGAAACTCCACCTGAAGCCCTTCTATAGTTACTGCCGGTCGCAAACCCAGGTAAATGAAGAGGGTTGGGAATAGGGTCTGGAACCCCATCTCCTAGTAAACAACCTTGCTAAACAAACAACAACCAAAATAAACAATTTAAACTCTGCCGTGGGAATTGAAGGATCTTCATTCAGAAGAATTATGAACCCTCATGATGAAAGCCGATATTCTTCGGAAGTCACGAGGCCGATCACCCTTCTGACAACCAGAGCAACAATTAATATAGGTACACGGAATGTTCCGACAATGTGGAAGACCGGGAGAATCAGTCAAACAGCAATTGATATGAATAGATGCAACTTGGGGTTTCTCGTAATCAGGGAAAACTATCGGAACCAAGCTGGACAGCGAAAGCTAGATACAGGAGAGAGGCTAATGTACTCCGATCACGAAGAAAAAACCCTCTACACAGTAAGGCAGTTGCTCTGATGCTGTCCAAAGAGGCACGTAAAGCACTTATTGGATGGATATTTCACGGATCCAGGATCATCGAAACATCATTCAAAACAAAGAAGAAAGGAATCACAAGGAATATTATCCAATATTATGCATCAACCAATTATAACAACGACGACGATAAAGGACAGTTCTATGAGAGGCTGCAATCGATTATAGCGAAGTGCCTAGCAAAAGATATGACCATCCTGAATGGAGACCTGAACGCCAAATTCGGAATGGAAAACATGGGATACGAAGATACCATGGGATGACATGGACTAGGAGAGCGAAACGAGAATGGTGGGATGTTTCCAAACCTATGTGCATTCAATAAATTGGTTGTAAATGGTACAATATTCTCTCATAAAACTACATGGGTCCTACCGGATCACACCACAGAGAATCAGATCGATCACGTTTGCATTTATGGAAGACTTGATGACCAGGAGAGGAACCGATATAGCTTCAGATCACCACCTGGTGGTTGCCAAGATGGAACTGGAACTAAAGAAGAACTATCAACTGAAGGAACAGCAGTAGAAAGTTTCAACATAACCTTCCTACGAGATACTGACAAACTCATCGAATTCAGGTTAGTCCTCAACAACAGGATCTACTGAAGGAAGAAGAAACTGCAATAAAGGACAATTGGGATGGTATCAAAGGAGCAATAACTTTAACATGTCAGGAGATTCTGGATCGCAAGAAGTATTTTGATAACTTGAAATATACCTTTAGTCTTCGTTTCAACCATTTACAGTCATATATAGAAAAAATAATAATATGGAAAATCGTAGGACTAAATTCAACATCTCAGAAGGTTCTGGGTCGCAAGAACTATTTTGATAAGGAATATATCTCTATGGAAACCTTGGATAAGATTGTTATAACTAAATTAATGTATTTGTACTATTCCAATGAGTAGAAAAATTAAATTTTCTGATTTTTCATGACGCAATGTAAGCCACTTTCTCAGAGAATAAATAACCAAATCGAAATTAACACACATTTTTAGAAAATCTACCCAATGCTCAGTTTATTCGAAATTATCAAATCAAACCTTGGTAATGATACCTATTTTAATTGTTGTTTTGTGTCCTTGTACTGTCAGTAGAGAATTGAAAAGGAAACACTGAGAATACGAAAATCATGCTTACCATTAGGTAGTGTTTCGGCTGAAGACTTCGTGTAAATATCATTGATATTACCAAATGGAGAAATCAAATTGATACTATATGTATAAGTAGTCAATGGTTTCAGATTGTAATATATAAAAGCTAACAAAGACAAATGACAAAAATTTATTAAAAAAATGTTTAACAATGATCTCATCAATAATTAAGATTTATTTTTATCGCATGTTATTCATAATTATTAAGATTAAATATCGTAATTTTGTATGAAGCCATAAAAATTTAAAACAAGAAACAATTTAATCTTACTTCTGAATTGTATAGTATTTAAGAGATATATATTAAAATATACGTAAAATGCACAGACCTCGAAATATTTGCAGGACTAATAAAGTTGTATTGAAATTTTAATTGAAAGTCTGTTAGATATAATTGAATGAAATTACTGTCATTCAAGCCAATCACATTTACTCGGCTAAATAATGTATGCTTAAGAAATTGAGAAATTCTAAATTCATTTAACGGTTTCGTGTTTCATCAGTATGACAAGTGTTTAGAAACCAGAAGATACCAATGTTATATTGGCTAATAGATGAGTGGTGGTTAATAGAAATGTGAGGTGAAAACTACATTTCAAAATCTCTTAATTAGTGATGAGCATTGAAATCAACTGACGATGATAAGAAATGATCTGACAAGCATGGCATTTGTTCATAATCTTTCAACCGAATACTTGACAACTAACTGAATCATCAAAATGATCAAAATTGTAAAACTAACAATGTAGGGTGCGTCCTTCTAGAGTGATTGCTCAAGTCAAGCCATTTTTGTACCAATTATGTAGGTATATAAAATGAATTACCAAGGCTTTTCACAATGATTACACTTTCTTTAAAAGCTCTCAGTTTGTACCTTAAGTCTGGAATAAATTAGATATCCTACATTTATATGCTTTCAGGAAACTGATTTCCCATTAGATGATAGATTTTTTATTAAGAATCTCTTATCCACAATCTCTAAATCGGTTACCTAGACCCTACAGAAGATCAGAAAGTACTCTAAACAGTTTGGTATTAACGTCTTTGACTACAACACTGAGTGATATGGTTTGGAATTACAGCCCTTAGAATCGCAGATAAGTCAAAATGAGGAATTTTAGCTTTTACTAAGCCTAGTTACAGAACGTCTAATAAATGGTTTTCAATCATTTGATAATATTTTACTCGGAAATGTAGTGGGTAAATTGCTCTATTTTAAAATAACAATGCTGTAGCAAAGAGCTATTCTCAGTAGTTATATTTATACATATTCAGGAAAATGTAAATGAAATCAATTTACAAAGGTTATATTTAATAAAAGTGAGTTAAACAAAATCATTCTATAAATAAAATAAAACAAACGACCTAATAATAACCCTTTTCTAATTATTAAACAATTAGTAATCAATGTTTATCTCATAGATTTAGGCAAAATTATAGGTTTTTATATTGACTAACTACTGAGTAAGGACAAATGTCAAGCTCCTTTAGTCTCGAATGCTTATCGAATTTTATTAAATAGCGATATGCCTCTAGTTCAAACGATTTGATATCGTGCCTACAATGTTTTGATATAAATTGGTTAAAAATAGCTGCAGGAAATCTTATAAAAAATTGTTTGATGGGATAAATAATTTTCAACTAATAAAAAAGGGGGAAAATGTTTTCAATAATTTTCTTAATGCGACTTACTAGTTTCATTCAGAGATAATTCGACTGTCAAACAATTATATGATAGATGACTGCATTGAACTAATTCTAAATAGGATTTACACTCGTTCATCAAGATAGGATCGTTCAATTTAATCCATCTCAAGTGTTGCATATTTCTGCCAAGGTTTGTAATTTTTATGAGAGTTTTCTTTGAAATGTCTGAAATGTTCAAGTAATAGAACAGTCAAATAATGTCAACCATTCAAAATTATAGGACAAACCTTCTTGCAATATCAGTTCTAACTTATTTAAAAATTATGCTCGGCAGACATTTGCAAAGTACTTTGGAAGGATTACGCACATTCATTTACTTTCAATTCAGTTGAATTATTCGAAAATTAATGAAAATATACAGTGGGACTTAAATATACACCGACAGTTTTAAAAAGGATTCCGAAGTTAACAAAGCAGATACCAAGTGATATAGTCAAGTAGAGATTTCTCCTGATAAATATTGCTATATCTAACAAAAATAAAATTTATGTGGTGATTTTAGCTCCTTAGCAAGATGAATTGAAGTACGAAAACTCTTCTAGTATTATACATGTACAAAATATTCACGACTTATCATCCACTGTCCCTGTTCAGAAGGCAATGCCGAACAAGCAATTGGATGTTTGGGTCGACATATAAAAATACGGTGGCGCAACTTCGTGGATTGGTTGAAGTTAGACATCAACACCGTTGGATGCCGGCTCAGTGGTCTAGTGGTTAAGCACTCGCGCGCAAAACCAGTAGGTCTTGGGTTCGAATCCCGCGAGGTACGGGTTCATGAATGCGCACTGCTGAGGAGTCCCATACCAAGACGAAACAGCCGTCCAGTGCTTCCAGGTTTTCCATGGTGATCTAGCTTCAATTGACTCATGATTTCAAATTGTGAAATTTCTAAAAATCTCCACAAAACCCATTCTGATAATAATAGTATAAATTTCTCTACAAGGCCTTTACGAACAAAGGCAATGAAACAGATATGAACGATTTATTTATATATGTGTAGTGGATTACCTTCTTAAGGCTTCGCATATCACTCGTCCTGATAACCGCTATCAGAAAACTCCCAATGGTGTATAAATTTCAAAATGCAATACGAAGTGTCAACTACAGCTGATTACTGTACAGCCCAGATCACTAGGCCACAAGCACACAGCGAAGTGAATCCGAGCACAAGTGAGAGCAAATACAGAGAATATAGAGTCAAAAAAATTAAGAAGATTCAACCATATATATATATATATATATATATATATATACATATATATATATATATATATATATATATATATATATATATATATATATATATATATATATATATAATTTAGGGCTATATTTTGTTCACATAGTGGTTAGACGATTACTTGTTTACTGCAATACCAGCGTGTTTATAAATATTCCGACGAGGAGGAAGAGTCGTTGGTTGTTGCGAAACTTTTTTTTTCAATGCTCGATAAATTTCGTTGATTCTACATGTGATTTTTGTCCGAGATGAAAATTGTGATTAGCAGAACAACAGCGCGTCATATATTGATAATGCATTTCCCTGTCATTTTATTTATATTCAATTAAATGCATTGTACATTTCATTGATAATGGGAAACAGAAACGTATAGCACAGCGTTTATGGATATAATACTATTTATTTATCTGAACACATAAATATTGGTACGAAGATGCACCGAATACATATGCGCCACACAAGTTACTTGATTAGTGCATCGGTTGTGATACTGCCCGGGTCCCAACGCCACCCAGTCAGAACACTCCACTCGACGTTACCTCTCCGCACCAGACCGCCCCAACTGGCGCCTCAGCTTCAAACCCGAAACGGCGTCCGCAAAACAGCACCCTTCCCCCTCCTGGTTGGCAGTGATACAAAATGTGGAGAGAGCTGACACTCCCCACCTTCAACATTACAAGGACATTTTGGGGCAATATTACGTTTAACCCTGGGGCCAGCCTCACAATATATATATATATATATATATATATATACTCCGCGGTTTTTTTTCCATCTAGTTCGGAGATGCTATTTCTCTCCGATCAAACTTTGTAGGGGGCCACGGATACCCAAATATGTGGAAATTTTATTCGTTCGTCTTCTTTTACGTAAAAGTAACAATTCTCGCCTTTTAGTTTCAGTGTTTTTAAGTGAAATATATAGTTCAGTACAGACCCTCTAATGAATTCTACAAAATATACGTTTTGTTAACAACTTTGAATATTATCAGAATGGGGTTTTGGGGATATTATAGTAATTTTTAATAGTTGAATTCATGAATCGATTGGTCGCCCGCAAGACCGAATGTCCTGGGTCCGAGTCCCGCGTGCGGGATCGTGGATGAGCATTGCTGAGGAGTCCCATACTAGAACGAAACGGCCGTCCAGTGTTTCCATAGTGGTCTAGCTTTAATCAACTCGTGGATTCAACTTCGAATATACAGTTAGTGGTAAACAAAATGGTGCGATAGCATTCTTTAAAGTAAATCTTAAAACTGGTGACTAATGATAGTGGACATTGATACAATTACTATATAGAATTGTAAGAAACGAGTTGAGAAATCGCCTACCTTTAAAACACTTCAAGTCTGATGCAAATACTTCCGTTTAATACGTTAATCAATGCTTCAAATGTATGTTGAACAATTGAAACTTTGATTTGATTAACCATTTACATTTGCATCATTCAAAAACAGTTGCCTACTAAAATTATGCAACCATGGAGATGAAAGAATAATGTTTTTAATCTAGAAATAATGTATGCACCAACTTACACGTATATTCAATATGACGTACATTTTGAACCTTGAAAAAGTGCACACTAATGCTGTTCATCTTCTTTTGTCTGTATTATGCAATTAGAATAAATTATTCTAATCTATTTGATTTGACTAGTTTACAAATACAATTAGAGATTGTTTTTTTCATTAGAGAAGAGTCGAGTGTAAGGTTCGGTAAATCAGTTATTTTTATTGATTATGACATTTCTAATCATACAACTGGTCATATACAATGCGTTATTGACGAATCAGTGGCGGGTTCATTTAAATTACCGTTTATTTGAAATTCAATTATTATTCCATGAAAAATAAATTTGTACACAAATGCAAGTGTATTAAGATATAGGTGTGAATCTAATTTTTCTTTATGGTACCTAAGACGATTAAGCACCTACGTGATACAGAATGAATACGAAGTTAGAAGTTAATATTTCAGGTTGCTGGCCGATGAGGTTGAAGTGGTTCTGCTACAGATTTCGATCCGTACTGCTACTTGGTTGGATTAATCTTATTGAAAAACTTATTCTAACATTGAGGCAACCAGTACGAGTTATTCAGTTATCTTCCCGTTGTGATTTTACTTCGGTTAAAAATGTACATAAGGATTTGAACTATTAACTAAATAGTAATTATTACCAGTCACACGTTATGTGTAGTTGTCTGATATTTATGAGGCTTAGTGAAGTAAAATATTCTGGGAAAAGTAATCGTAAATAATGTCTATGTCGTGTTTTCACAACAAATTCATTTCTACCCTCAGTCATTTCACTACATTAGAATAGCCACTGAATCATTGTGAATTAATATTGTGTTTTCATCCAACTGGTTACAAATTACCACATGTATTGTTACATCAAATATAATTATGTATGTTCCTAAGGTCCGTTTTAATGTTTACATTGAATGAACCTCCTTCTTTCCGTTGAAAAAACGTTGTTCTAACTTGAAATATACCCTTCGTCTTCGTTTCAACCATTTACAGTCATACATGAGAAATTGAGTGGTAATGCAAATCGAAACTAAGTCTGTTGAATAACTGAGGTGGTCGATGCGTTCAACTACTTTACTCGATATCATGAATTTAGACGTTAATGCAATCCAATTCTGAAGCAACATCTAGCATTTGGAGGGAAAGAACCGCATTCGAAGCATGTTCGCATTGTTTCTACTGTGCTGTGAAAATCATTCTCCAACAAATTTCACCTTATAACGGTATATTGAATCAACTAGTATGTTCAACGAGATTATTAGCGTTTAAATTGACTATAAACAGTACTACACCGAATGAAGTGTATTTAAAAGTCAGCAACAGGGAACTAAGGCAATTTTATTTGTTTTGTTAACGCAGCTAATGCTTAGCAAATATTGATAATAATCACAATATGAACCTACTCGAGATTGAAGTAAACGCAGTTAGTGGCTTTGACCATTCACTATATACTGTTTCAGATAATTTTACTACTAATCTCATTTGAATTGTATAAATTGTGCAAGCAGTTAAATTCTCAATTTTTTGTCTAAATAATTCACTCGAAATATTTTTTATTAATAACAATGATTGTCTTTGACTATTAAGCAAGATTTCATAAGTAGAAGTTTTGAATTGACTTCCATTAGTTTTCACAATTGACCAAATGATCACGAACGAAGTGGATGTAATATTAGAGATCTGAATAAGTTTTGGTGTATGAATACTTGTGTTTAAAAGATGAACTAAAAAACAAAATTTGATTAAAAATTAAAGAATATGTAAGACAGACGAAGAAAACCAATTATAAATAATCACAGGATAGAAATATAGAGTCCGCATTTGTTTGATTTCCTATAAACGAAACAAATCACGTTAACTGATATTTATTTAAAGTATATGCCGACTACAACCGAACCCACAAGTGCACACAGAAATTAAATAACTCATTCACATAAGTATCATACTTTTCACAACCATTCACACACATAGGAATACGTACAACGTTATATCTCACACAATCATCATTAAGCTAAATGATATAAGATTAATATGATACAGCCGTTGGTGTGTACTAAATAACCGATTTGATTTTTTCAGTGTTAATTTATAAGTTGCTGTTAGGTAGTCGGAAAAATAGACCAATAATTATCATGTTAAGTCCAATGGTGTCCTTGGACCTTAAATGTACATTTCCCATTGGTCGATATTTATTTAACGTGTTATTTTCCTGTTGGCCATTGTTGTACAATATTATCTTCTATTTTATGGTACGTTGTGGACTGCTTGAATGGTATATAAACAAAGCATGTTTGAAATATAATGATTCATATATCCGAGGCTGTGACTTGCGTTCTGGACTCAACTGGCTGGGCTATACAGGGAAGCGAGACCAATCAGAACCCTAGGTCGTTCTACGTGTTTGCGCGTCTTTGGTCCGATCAATAATTCGCTATCCCTTAATCAGCATTATTTCCACGTCATAACAGTTGCAAAGAATCGCAAGTACAATTTTCTACTCAATAGGATATTTCACATTCACTATAAATACATTACTGTTTACTTTCAAAATCAGACCAAATTAGTATCACTTCGTTCAAGTGGACACTGTTGTGCTTTTTAACTTGTAACTTTTATATATTACCACGAGAGTCCAGTTTACTTCAAAAGTATTATTATTATTTCTTAACAATAGAACTAGGGTAATCTACAACTCAATACAGTTCAGACGAATGTTTCAAATTTATAGTTTTACTAACTGTAAAACTACTAGTGTTATGTTTCAAAGTAGCTAGAAATGGAATTCATAAGATGTATCTTGATTAATTTAACACTCATCAGCATAGAAATACTGATGAGTTCAAATAGTGATATTAGTAACGAAGAAATGTAAACCATTCAATAAATAATTCTTAATATAATGTGTATAAGTGGCATAAAATGGATTTACCAACCATTAGACCAAAATTCAAGCTTATTCATATTAACACGCGTATGCAAAAAAATGGTCTGGTTCTCAAGCACAAGCGAGAGAGATTATCCATATTTTAAATTAGAACCAACATAAGCGATTTAGTTGCAATCTACCCTTAAACAATGTGAATTTATCCAAAAAAAAACAGATCTTGAGTTATCTTAAATTTTAAGTTGGTGTGGCTAGTGGGGAAATTTTACATGCATATACATCTGTATTAAACTTTCAGTTAGCTTGAGAAATATATACGATCAATTAACTAAGTCGGGTACGAATGTCGACAAAGACGTAATATGAAATGGTGACTGGCGGACCCTGTGATTTCTTTATGAGGGAGTGATGCATCGATGACGCCGAACAGCGACCAAGCTATTTTACAAGTTAAAGTCGAAGCATATAAACCATTAGATTCCCGTTAAGAGATCTAATAAATTTAAAAGATTGATAGTTCTCAACTTTTGAAGAATTTCAGACCAGGGTAAGAAATACAACATTATGTTGCTCCCTAACCTTTATTAATCCTTTAGTTGAGATGACAAACCGATCAATGTTAGACCACCATTGAACGGCTGTTTCGTCTTAGTATGGGACTCCTCAGCAGTGCGCATCCAAGATCCCGCACGCAGAATTCTAACCCAGAACCTACAGTCCCAGGCGCGAACGCCAAACCTATAAATCACTGAGCTGCCATCCAGTGGTCTTAATGTATAAGTTCAATCGATCCATAATCTTGTGCAAACTTTTATCCATTGTCTGAGGTGGATAACCGTCTCCACCCGACATGGGTTGGACTCCAGTGGTCATGGCTTTGCACTAGAACTCTAAGAAATCCATTTTCAAGCTAATCGCTAGTGAGCACATGATAATTATTAGTATGGAGTTGTGGAGATTGTTGAGTTTTAATTGAGATCATGAACCGATCAATGTTAGACCCCCATTGAAAACCTGGATCGATTCATGATCTCAATTAAAAACTAACAATCTCTACCGCCCCATATTGATAATTAGCTTTGATTATAGTCGTATTTAACTTCAGCAACATCATAAAAATTATATAATATCATCACCAAAATTAATAATTGTATTGATGAACATTTAAATTAATTTTCGTTTGAATCACCCTACATTAATAAGATATAAATCATATCATATGATAGACAGATACTTCACTTTCGGACAGAGCTAACACTGAACTAACCCGATTTGCTACTTATTGTTTCTGATAAATACAATCAGGTTAATATTAAAATGATTTGGAAAAATGGTACGTTTAATTAAATTTTAAGTGTACAGTTTAGTAAAATAGTGAAATAATTTGAAAGGCTAAAAATTAAATGGATCCGAAAGTAATCCAAAATACCTTATTAACTTATTATCAAAAAACTAAGGGCAGATTTAATGAAATTCCTTGTGAATAAATTCAGTTTCATATGCTGTATATTTATATTTCATCCAAATTGTAGACCTTCTATCAATAGTTGAAATTAATGTGAAAAAAATAAAAAGTGTACTTCATTACACAATTCAAGACGTTATTATGCAAAACAGAAAAGAATGTAGAATAGGGAAATTAATGAAAGAAAATGTAATGAAGATTAAATAACGCAAACATTTTATCAGAGAGATCAATGCGTGATTCTATACTGTTGAAGATGTTAGATCCCCAGAACTCACTTGATATATGCCTTAATTTTATAATTTTAGAAATTTAAGTTTCCTTGTTTTCGCGCTAAAAGCGCACTTTTCACATTCATAACGTATTTCCCACTTGTGAGAATCTTTAACGCTATTGGTCCGTTGTGTATTTTTAGTATGCTATTTTTGCTACGCTTCCCAAGGACAGTTTTCACTCGTGCTTCTGGCTTACGGAATATACTTTCCCGTTCCAAGCTTGGATTTCTTCCTCTAGTTGGTGGAGCTGGGACGCATCAAACAGCTAGCTTATCGGTCTACGGTCACAAGTCTTTGTTCCGTCCGTATACTAAGTGAACTCGTAATAGCTTCAAACCTAGCAAATACTAAGACTGCCACGTCAACAGAAAATCTGTACATACTTTTTGTAAACAGATTGTTGAAAACTTGTAACCTCAAGCAATATTGATGAATCTGCTCAAATAATGTGTTATGAATGGTCAAATACAGTGCTGAAAAGCAACATCGGGAAAAATTAACTATACTAATACTAACATTGTTGAAAAATTAAACCAGTACATAGACATTAAATTTGGATCGTTTTGAATGACCCACTGGAATTTTATAGCTTATTTCAGGAAAACGAATAAAACAGAAGTGAATAGAGTTGTTTTATCTGTTGTAAATCTAAACGGTAAAGTAAAGGATTGAATTAGACCTACTTTCAAGATGATTGGTGAATAGTTTTTGCTGTTATTGAGAACTGATTTATTAGGTCTAATATTTCATCACAACCTATTTAATGGATATAATTTGTAAAGGTTTGTATTATTATTGCATTGTTAATGTTCTTGACTGAATTTTGATCAGTCTTAGATGGCACGTGTACATCTTGTGCAGATTTCCTTTGTATAAATTATTTTTTATTTTTTCATAGAAAAAATGTTTAATTTAGGAACTAAGGCATCACAACTTTGCTTAAAGTTAGATTTTCAAACTGTTATATCTAGAGCTTAGATTCGTGATATACCGCGTACAAATTGAGCACTAGAACGCTAGAACCCTCCGAGTTGCAAGTGAAAAGATAGAAGACGAGTGAGAAGAAATGTTATTCAAAACAGTACTAAATATGGTACAAAACTCTCAGGTATTTAGAGTTCCTAGTAAAAACGAAATCATCATTAGTCATCTAATTCGCGTGCAGTGGTTTTAAGCATTTGTCCAATAGAGTAGCTGAGCGTCGAGATTCTGGAATGTTCCTTCAAAAGATTATTAGACAGAAAGTCTTTGACTCTTTCCGAGCTTCTTAGAGCTTCCTCGAGTTCACCTGTAAGCCATCCTTACACAAATACAGTTCGCCAATAAAATATCTGACATAATACAGAATTTAAGTATAGCTTAACAGAAAAAGTATCTTGTCCATTTTCTCCTTCGTTCTTGGAAAACTAGACAAGTCATTCTAGACAAAACTAATAATTAGTAGCTTGAAATTCGGTGACAACAGTGACTACCTATCTATGTTTATTAATTGAAACACGAGTAACAAGAAAACTATGGAGGATACCCCTGAACAAGAACTTTGAATTCAGAGATAACCCTGCAGTAAATAGTTATTGATATCTAGAACTTAGTCAGTGTGTAAATACTTTTTGAAAATGAGCTCATTCATAAAACCCAGTGCCGACAGGAAATTAATGACGACTAGTAATTCAGAAACTTCATATTCTATATCTTGTATAGAAATTCAAATCAGTCGTAACACGGTATTCCATGAATCGTTCATTTTTTGAGTATTCATTTCAATCAAATAAGACTAATTAGTATCTGTACATTGGTTTTCTACAGTCATAAATAGAACTGCGTTAGCGGTAACTTTCCTGGTTAATGTTCAACAGGATCATTTAAAATCACTTTAAAGAATATGAATAAATATGGTTAGTTAATGGCTTTAGAGAAATATGGAATTTAAGTCATGTTTTCAACTGCCTGACAAAGTGGTAGGTAGGAAATAAACTAAAACAAAAAGCATTAAGTACCCAATCAAAAATTTACAGTCTCATAGTGAAATATTATTTACAGAATATTTTTTCCTTTCTATTTAGCGTTACAAATGAATATATCAAATGTAATACACTTACTCAAAGGTAAAGTTTTTGTAGTTATTGAAATATGCTGCCTTAAATAATTACCAAATGGTGAAATCACTTTCAGATGATACGTATATTGAGTTGATGGTGCCAAATTATAGAATGTATATTCTGTAAATACATTACAATCGTAAATAAATAATTACGTTTCATAGTGTTAAATTCTTACACTGTTGAATTAAATAAGGTTCACGATAATAGCTATTAGCCCCAATATAAACAAATTGTAGATAAAAGAAACATTGAAATATTTAATCAAAAAGCCCTTATACCAACAGAAATTAATAAAAAGCGAGAAAATGTAAAACTCGTTAGATTCTTGTATACAGAGCATCCATATTTTTTTTAATAAAGCATTAGAACATTGCTCTTAAACAGGTTTGATAGTAGACGTGCAATATTAGATTTTGATGGATGCTAGAAACGAAATAATTCAACGTAGAGATTTTTACAAGTAATTTATTATTTAACTCTAATAATAGCAGCGTTTGAATCGACTCCACTAATTAACTACTTGATTTACCGTAAAAATAACGAAAACTTGCCTTCTGATAAGGAATCCCAGATGGAACGACAATATTCTAGATAATACAATGAGCACACTAGATAATTAGACTGCTAAACTAGATAACGTGGTACACAGTTACACAATATCAAACCAAACGATTGAGAACCACATTTTGTTCACATAAATTACAGAGGAGTCACACAGTGTGGAATCCAAACAAAATTACAGTGAAACTAATATTATAAAATATTTCACAATTTAGCACAGGAGGATGTCTATCTTCGCCCAGTAGTTAGTGACGGGTCACTCGAAAAATTATTCACTTATAGACGTCTTTCACATTTATTAAAATATTCGTAGCTACAAGAGATCACGTATTACTAGTCATAAGCAAGACGTGCTTTTAGTATTTGTTTAAACTTAATTGCTAACCAAATTAACTACTAATAGAAACTTAAATCACGATCTAACTGACAAATTACAATCAAAACATATCAGTATGGGGATTTGTGGAGATTATAGTATTTTAACAGTTGAATTCACGAATCAGCCTAAACTAGACCACCACTTAAAGCCTGGAAGCATTGGATGGTGCGTTGGCTTCCGGCTCAGTGGTCTAGAGGTTAGGTATTCGCGCACGAGACCGAAGGTCCTAGGTTTGAATAACACGTGCGGGACCGTGGATACGCACTGCTAAGGAGTCCCACACTAGGACGAAACAGCCATCCAGTGCCTCCACGTTTTCAATGATGGTCTGGCTTAAATTGGTTCATGAACTCAACTGTTAAAATTTATACATAGTTCATATATTGCAAACTGAATTCTGCTGGAATTAAAAATGTAGCTTATTGAAACAACGCACTTCTCTTTTCCTAACACCAATCGGACAATAATTTACCTTAAACGAATATCTACACTAGATACCCTCCCAGTGTCTATTCTACAGGACATCAACATGACTCGGACCAAGCATATTTGATTGGTCCGACTAGAATGTGAGTATATTTCCACATCAACAACCGATTAAAATAACAATAATAATAAGGGTAGGAAAATGTCAGACTATCTACTAGTCTGACTAGGTAAACAACCAATCACCTATTGAACTCCAACTAGAAACCCATGAGTTGTCAGCTTAATACATCAAGGATTCATAGGTGGGCACGACCGAGTATTCTCCCACTACGGAAAAACACTTACCGCTGATCCCAGGTTCTCAGAGGTTGTTTAAATAAACTCTCATGATAAACTGTTTAAACAATCTCCACAAATCTCTCCTAATAGTATAGTAAAACTTATTAATGTTTATAGAAACTACCTGTTTCATTTATTGCCACACTGGTAATTAACTCAATGAAGGTTTTTTCATTCATTTGTAATAATTGAATAAGTGCCATACATTCATTAGGCACAGTAAATTTACTCCACTTCACTTTTTGAATAGTTGGAGACATATTTTCTACTTCAAAATGACTTTGAACGACATGTTCTAAGTTGATTAAATAAATATAAGTAAACAAATAGAAATGATTTGGATTGGAGCAACATCAGTTGAAATATAATAAAACATAATTAAGAGAGAAGCACAGAACCGCATTAAGGTACAATAATATTTCGGTTTATTATTTAGTATTTACGCTATGCTACGTTAGTTGAGAATGCATTATACATTGATCGTGTTTATCTAGATATTATATAATCACTTGGAATACTTAAGATAAACATTTAAGAAAATTAATTATAGAAATAAACCAGTCTATGTATGGTTAATACTACTTAGTTAAATTTAGATTTTACGACCTAAAAACATACCAAATGGAAAGCGGTCACCGAACAAATGATTTAAGGCTCTTGGTACAAAGTTATAGCGAGAAGCCATTACCCATTGTGTCAACCATACTGAGAGTTTTTGAGTTATATCTCAAAGGTGTGAATTACAATATATCACGAACGAACTGAAGTTGAAATCTGGATTTGAATGAAAAAGTCTCTATAAATTTCCTTTCTTACTAACAGAAATTTACTAATCTTATGATACAGAATGCCCATTGGACTGTGGTTAACATATGAATACATACTAGTAGTAAGCTTATTAACGGGAGTTCTTCTGCATGATCATACTGTCGATAGATACTCATTAGTCAAAAAGCACTTACACTGTCGAATTTCTGAACACAGTTAATCCCAAGTTTAAGATATTCTATACTTCAGAATGTTTGGTTTTTTCCATAAATCATGATGCATGTTATTTACGAAGAAAGATACTACCGGGTTTACTGGGATTTAGAAGATAAACTCTGTGAAATATCCCCGTTGAATTTCAGTTTATGGCATTTCCCGTTGACTGTTAGGAAAGTGAAGCTAGCATGATACTACAATACACGATATAGTATTCATGTATTTGGTGGGAAATGTAAATTTGATGTATTTTCTGTATTGTTTGTCTGAAGTCGACAATCATCGTAGCCAGTTAGTTTGCTATTCATAATAAGTAATCGGTTCTGAAAAATGGTAACCGGTAGTTTAGATATATCTGATATTAGACTTATACACTATTATATAAACAAGATACTCTAAACACCAACATTAAGGACAGTCACAAATACGAGTAAAAATAATTAGAGAATGGATATTTTTTACTCACAGTTCAGTACGAGTAACTAATTCTCACAATTTTATAACCTGTTTAGCCTTTTTCTTTTTACAAATAACATTTATTGCAGTTAACTTGATTCGTTTATCGTAGTTTCCTCTAAATTTTGTAATTGTAATGTAAATTTAAGTTGTTTCTTAAACGACAATATTAAATTACTTTTATCTTTGTATACTTAGTGTAAGGCTAGATGAATTTGATGTTAAATAATCGCTGCTCTATTATATAAAGTTGGATTAAATTTGGAACTATGAACCATAAAATCCCTATTTAGTAAACAAAAAACACTGCATTGAAACCTAGTAATGAGGGTTGTAACTACTACTTTAAATGAAAAGGTGAGTACTCACTCACTCGTAAACGTGAATATGAAACAACTATCCGTTGCGCATGGACTTTTCATGATCCCCTGTACTGATATTATAATCTGTGGTGATACTCATCATCGGAAAAGTGTCGATGGATCTAAGCACTGGACAAATTTAGTATCTTTGTAAGAAGAATGATTTCATAAATTGAGTGTTAAACGTTAGATACATCCTAATGATTTTCAACTTTAATTTGCATCACTATTCCGAATAAATAGATAAAGAATATTAAATTTATCCATGGTTTTCGAATCACGAACTGATCTGGGCTAGACCGTAATTAAAATCCGGGATACACTGGACATCTGTTTTGTTGTAGTATAAACTCCTCAGCAATGAGCATCCACGATGCCGCCAAAAGGAATCAAACCCAGAGCATAAACTTTTGCGAGTAAACGTTGATCACTGAGCCGTAATCCAGCGGTTTTAATGTCTAACTTGAATCAACTAACAGTTCAGGTTACTTTGTGATTTAAAAACTGAAAATTTTATAATCTCCACAAAACCACATACTAATACATTTGATTAATTTAAGCTTAGAAATTCAGTAGACATTTCATATAACGAACAGTAGGACAGTTCATAATATTTTCATGCACTAAATTAACATATTCATAACTATTCGGCATTTAACTATGCGGGTCATTCACCAGAATAATTTCAGACAAGCAGATGTATCATTTTGGAGCGATACACAAAGACGAGGTAAACCTCTTCAGTAACTTGTGGTCTTTTAGCTGAACTGTATTTGACACTTTGATCAGTGTTATTATATGTTACAATTAATGTACAGTAGTTAAAACTACTGCAGTAAGTTATAAGATAGGAATGTATAGTCAATGGTCATATCGAGGATTAGCATAAGTGAACCGTGAACCGTTGGGTTTCAACCCAGTGATCTTAAAATATGGTACTGACCGCTTGAATTGTAAGTTCAAAGTCTGAAATAGTAAGTGTCCACTTCTAATGTGTTTTAAACCAGGGCAAACAAACTGTTCAGTGCTTCCTGACTTTTAATGGTTCACCAGCTAGTTTAAGCTTATCCTGAAATTTGACATCAAATAATTGTAATCTGGTAAACATCTCAGTCGTATCTCAAAGACGTAACTCTCATTTCCGCGCAATATGAAAATTTTAGATAACTGTTGACTTAATGACATACGTGGTAATAATGTAGCTGTAAATACTGGATTTGACCAATCACTTGATTTCATCCATAACATATCATGTGTTTTGATTTGTATAATATAAAACCAACATGATGTTAAATTTATAATCCTTTTTGTCAATTGAAAACAATTTGAGACATTTTTAATGATTATTGGTAACCTTTGTGGACTATTTATCAATATTTCGTAGACAACTTTATTCAGCCGATTATAAAGACGTGGTAAATTCCAATTAATATCGAAGGAATCAGATGTGACATTGGTGATTGTGACATTTTCCGGAGGTAACAATTTTGAATGATGACAGAATTCTATGAAAATATGAGATTCAGAAAATTAAGTTCTTAAGAAATCTAAATTTCTGGAGATGAAAGTCAATATCACTTTAAACAAAATCTAATTAAAGTAAAACATTTCTTTAAAATCACGATTCAGTGTAGTCAAATTCTTTGTATTGAATTCCATGTTACTTCATTCAAAATATTCGGGAAGATAACACTTTGACAAAGTAACCAAAAAACTAGGGTCTTCTACGTCATACTAAACGAACTTCAGATAACGCTCTGTTCTCGCATTTAAGCTAGTGAAGACAAAAATATCCGGTTTAGCTAATCAGTAGTAAACAAATTAGGATCTAGGACGTATGTGCGTCGATATGGGTTATATTGACTCATATTAACAAAGACAGAAGTCAACAACAAAAACAGAGAATAAAGTGATATACAATAAAAAGCAAAATATGAGAAATATAACTTAAAATTAGTAAGCGATATCGAAATAAAGGTATGAAATAACATTAAAATCAAGATTTTGAAGATAGAAAAAGTGCATTCAGCTGCTCCAAAGAAATCATTAATCGACAGTATTACATGACATCTGAGAACCAAGAATACGAGTGAACTGAGGAACATAAACTGGAATAATGCACACACTCAGCACAAACCAACAGAAACTGATAAAATGTAAGGCCTAAAACATTCTACCAAACGACTCTTACGAAAGCTACAATAATACATGGAAGTGTAAATCAATCAAAGATGGGCGACACTAAAAATTGATATCACAGAAATATACATCTTACCACTGAATCGATCTGTTTTGTCACTTTAGTCATTTGTCAACTGATAATAACAAGTAAATTACTATTATCATTAATGTCACTATGATACCTGCATGAAAAACCTCAACCTTTGAATGTCAGTTTCTACACGGCTCAATCAACCTATCATTGAATGTCCTGTCAAATATTCGCTCCACATTCCAATTATACAGTGCACAACATAAAATAACATATGTCTGGATTTAAAATTGTGGACAATCCTTAACTTACTCGACTGATTAAACCCATCAGTAGTAGTGGTAAAATTTGTGGTGGCAGTGGTAGTAATGGAAAAATTAGTAGAAGCATCAGGAGCAGTATTGGTCACACCATAAGTAAAACTCTGATTAAATGTTGAACCAACGGGATCGCTTGCACTCAGTGCCACATTAAAGGAAGATTCTGATAGGAGAAACAAAATAAGGTAGAATGATGAAATATTTAATAAATGTAGGTGATAAATAGAAAGATCAGATTTCCTCGTCTTTTACACGTTTTTTATTGGTGTTTGTGTAGGTGCAACCAAATGTTTTTCGTACACACATTTATCAAGTTCTGAAAAGGGTCAGTGTATCTAAATATATCGTTTGATTGAAGACTAGCTTTAATTTCATACAATATTCATTATGAAAAACCTAATCAACATGCTTGTGAATATTTTTTAATGGTTTTGAATCGTATATCCGTTTTCTGAAATATTTTTAGGAGACAGCGTAAAAACATATAAGCAAATAACTAATATACTAGGCATAGAAAAATATGTAAAACAGTATAATCAACTAAAAGTTCATAAGTAATACAGAGGCTTTCATATTATTTACTGATTTTAATACACCTATAAACAATTCAAATATGACTGTATATCACTCTCTATATTATATATCGATACCATAATAAAGATCAAATAAGGCAATAATAATAATAATAATAATAATAATAATAATAATGTTTTCTTGTAGCAAACTCCATTTTATAATACATGATCATATCAAACGCTGAATTAGTATTTATTTATTTGAACACATATTGGTACAGGGGGGCACCAGATACATATGCGCCACACAATAATAATGAGAATGGGAAGAGATAAAAAATGTAAGGTGTGTAAAAAGAAAAAAAAGGACAATACCGACCACAAATTAGTGCATGGTAGTGAAATAGTAATAAAAATGGAGGAAATAGAAATGTACAACCAGAAAAAATTCATTCAGTTGAAGAAGTCAAGTTCATTTCTTTATGAAGAAAGTAAAAGAAAGTGACAGCAATGTCGCCACTGGCTTCTATTCTTACCCATATATGATAACGTCTCTAGCCACTGTTACATCATCGATAGGACCTCAACCAGAGAGTTGTGAAGGACAAACAGAAGCCAGTCCCGTACAGCTTTCTTTCATACCACAACACCATGTCATAAACTGACCACCTCTCCGATTTTTCCAACCAGTCCCAAAGTAAACAAATAATGCACGACGAGGAATTCTCCAGAATGCCATTCGTGGAACATGTCCAAGTCATCGAAGTCGGTGTTCCAAGATAGTGACACCAATTGAATTATCGTCTCTGCACCCGAACACACGATGGCGAACTCCTGCATTACTGACATGGTATTGCCACTGGGTGTTAGCAATCCTTCGGAGAAAACGATGATCAAACACAGAGTTGTCTAACATTCTCAATCCGGAGAGACCAGGTTTCACAAGCATAGAGCGAAACTGCTCTCTGGGTGTGGTATCCCCTAAGAAGGTCACCTGCTTCGGTTCGGGAACCCGAGTAGTATCAGAGCCCTCACACAAATTTGATGAGATGACAAATATTTCACAAAATACTGTACTCGTTCCGATCAGAACTCAGACATTTCGCTTTCACTTGAATTAGTAACGTTAAATAAAAATGTACGCAGTGATTAAAAGCGAAGCCTCTCAATATGTCTGGAATTTGAATAACAATCTTTAGCTAAAAACTATTTAGTGGTAAAACAATCGGAAGGAAATTAAGGAGAAAATTTAATTAACAAATTTGTTAAAGTATACACATAAATAGGGGTCCAACTTGTAGTGGAATCATGTTCTGGAAGGAGAAAGGGGATAAATTAGTAAACGATAAGAATGAATGACACTGACTCAACACCCCGTCAGTCAGTAACAACGTAGAACTTCGAATCGCCACACCATATTAGCACATATGTGCAGTTGTCGATTCAAATCCCGTGGTGGTAGAAGTATTGAGAGTATAAGCAGTAATCCGAAAGATTGAGGTTTGAAGATATTATTCAAGGAGTATAATCCAGTGAAATAAATTTGGAAAGAGAAAAAAGAAAGGGACTTGAAGAATTCAGAAGATTAGAATTTGGGAGAACACAGAGAGTGGATACACCTGCTCCTTAGCAAACGATTCTGAGCCATGTATGTCATTCAGGGTCTTTAACCGTCACCACCGCGTAGATATATCTGGTGGGAATTCTTAATGCTGTGACACTGATTTTGCTTTTCACTATGTCACATCAATTGTCGCTTGTGATTACCACCTGACATACCCTTGGTAGTGACAAGTAATGCCTCAAAATAGTGTTTCTATCGGGGTTGGCAAGACTACAATAGTCATATAAGTAACAGCATTATATCTACATTTATGAATTACAATTGTCCTAACTAACCTAGGATAAATTATGTATTCTAACTTGTGAATAACTGCTTTCAGGAATGCGACTATGACCACAGTTCAAATCTCTTTACCGGAAATCTAAGTAACAGAGATTCATGTGATCGTTTGACAAACGTATGACAGTATTTTATTAGCTCTTCTGAATATATTGTCTTTTCTCATGTGTAAAAGCACCAGTGTAAGGACAACACTTATGAATCATATGGGAAATTGCAAAAACAATTGAGGAATATAAGAAGTGAAATACACCACTGAAAATTAGGTTAATAGATTTAGGGTAACTTAAATAACTACGAATTCTTACACACACGAAAACTTTCGAATTCCATGAGGATAGTATCTTACATTTTCTGCAGTTTGCAAACACAAAACTGGAAAGTATTGACAAAACTGACAATGCCATACACCTACAATATAATATTCAATAGAAGCAGCTAGAAATAACATAATCAACTATATGGTGCACAACAACAGCCTTTTGAATCCATTATTTATCTCTAAAGCTATCAGAAGAAATGTTTCAGTAATAGACATTCCATATACTTAAGATACAACACCATCCCTCTTAATTCCTGATCTCATGAGATCGTTTGTAATGCTACTGCAGTAACATTCCTAGTGTTCTCAATTGAGAACTTTAAAGTCCTTGTTCTGGACAAAAGTACTGGATACATTACCGGGGAACTGAGTATATGTAACAAGAAAGTAAAATACTGATATCATTAAGTAGTAGCATATGGAGTCTCAGATATGTATTGAACAATATTACCCACCACAATCAAGATTGGAGACGAACAGTATCAAGTAAATATGCCAAATAATAGACATCAATGTACGTAGATGAATAAGTTTTCCTTTGAAAAGATAAGTTATAATTTCAAACCCACATTACCGAGAAAAGGGACTACATCGATACAAGACACACGTTCAATCTATAAGTCAAAGCCAACGATGTAGCACCGTCTACTGACGAAGGTTACTGAGCTTTTGAAGGTCAATCTATTGTACAACGATTCGTGCGTCACCTCGACAAATCGCAAGGTTTTGTAGAAGCGGTCAATTCAAGACAACTTTGAATTTGATTTGAATTTAGGTACACTGTCTGGTAGCATCCATCCGTCAAGTGATGAAAGTGATGCCATGTGGGAGGCCTGCATGCTTTTTTCCAGTGGATGATGGAATTCAGTGTGACAACTGCGATAAGTGGTATCACAATGTGTGCACCGCACTCACACCGACTGCATATAAAAATTTCTGCAAGCCGCTGTCACGTTGGCTATGCAAAGATTGCCGTTCTACAAAGTCCCTGCTGATTCTTGAGGTGATTGAGCTACTGAACATCGCTAGAAAATTGCCCTCAGATAAACAAACAGCAGTAGATGAATCGGATTCAGTTTTCAAGAAAATAGCGAGCGTAATCATCAACCCAGCTTTGGATTAGAGTAAGACCATCAAAGTGAACCCCATTAGAGGAACGGTTAGAATACATACAGATGTAGGCATTGTCAATTGAAAAAAGAAAAAGCATGGTGAGAAGAAACTACCTATTGACAGTGCCAACGTATGTGTATCTACGGTTTCAGTTCCGGATTCACATATCAACGCAGAATAGATTATGGGGGAGCAAAGCCTAGGCGGTATGGATGACATAATTAAGAGATATAATAAGGCAGGTGATTAGCTCACAGTCACATCCAGGAAAAGAAAAGTACGGAAACGGAGTGGGACCTCTGTGCTTGACGCCAAATCGGTCTTCAGGAATTAAAACCCTACAGCGTGTTAAGACGGGCCTCGCTGACATATCAGTCGCTTTTCATGCGTTAAGAGAACCTTCCGAAAGGGAACCAAAAGCTAGATTTGAGCACGACCTCCTGAGAAAAATTGCGCAATATATTGCAATCCGACTTTCTATGATATTCAATATGTCACTTGACGAAAGTGTGTTACCTACAGACTGGAAGGATGCGATCGCCACTCCCATACATAAAACGGGATCATGACGACTTTCATCGAACTACAGACCTGTCAGTCTCACCAGTGTCGTAGTTGAAATACTGGAAAGAATAGTCAAAAAGACAATAATGACGTTTGCGAAAACCAACAACCTGTTAAACAACGAACAATATGGTTTCAGAAAAGGTTCATCCTGCACAACAAACCTCCCAATATCAAGAAAGCAATGGATAAAGGCTCCAGACAACGGAAAATCAGTGGATGTTGTCTACATAGACTTTAGCAAAGCATTTGATAAGGTACTATTAAAGCTGGAAAATCTTGTCATTGCCAGAGCTCTACTAAAATGGCTTAAGGATTTCGTGGTAGGTCATAGACAGAAAGTAAGAATAAATTCAAATTACGCCTCCTGGAAACCAGTACTTAGTGTGGTACCGCAAGATTCTGTCTTAAGTCCTTCACTTTTATACTGTATGTGCATGATCCCTCAAGTATAGTGGAGTCCTAAATGTTGATATACGCTGACAATGTGAAAATCTGGTGAGAAATACCAGGATACACAGATGCATGCGCACTTCGGGCAGAGTTGCATATTTTGATTAGCTGGTCTAAAACGCGACTGATGCCTATCAACGAGTCACGGTGCGTCTACATGCACTTCGGGGATATGAAAGTTAGTAGTCACAGCATAGCGGAATTGCTGTATCTGTGGTCTGGTCTTACAACAATTTTGGGGTGATGGTGAGTCAAGATCTTAAGACCACAGTTCATTGCCGGGAGGTTGCAGCTAATGGGGTTGGGAAGCCTACGGGCTTTAATACGGATATTTTTCGTGTCGGTAGGCAACCCTCGTTCTTTTGATAGAAGAATGCAGACTAGTAGTGAAAAGTTCTTCATTTAGATCTTTGTGCAGTCATAGTGGAGAGTGGGACTACCTATTCAAACGCACAAATGTTTTCAACATTCAACACAAGATAATAGGAAGAATAATGTCTATACAAATTAAGAAAGTGAATGAATACTTGGGCTCTATTGTTTTGACATATACTTGATCGTTCGAGGTCGATTCTTAACTAATAAACCTAAGCTGTTACACATTCCCCAAGTTAAATACTACCATACTCACTACGGTATACTCAACCTTAGTGAGAACTGAACTTGAGAACTGCGTTCAGGCTGCAAGCCCCTGTTTAAAAGGTGACTTGGATATCCTGGAAAAACTGCAGAGGGCAGCTACCCATGCAATTCCATTCAATCAACTCCAATTCATTCAACTCATTGTTCGCGCCTTCTCTATCGTTAGGTATTTCTTCGCGTTAAATATTGAATACCTATTTTCCGAGCAATCTCGTATTCAGCTTTGAAGATCGTGTGGTTATTGTCCAATGCCACTACAAGAATACTAAGAAATGATTTTGGACCTAATATACCCTCTCTTTTCCTTCCCACTAGATCGGGACATCTCAGAGGACATAGCAGACGAGTAGCAAGGCCTAGAACGAATGAAATACTCGTGGCATACAGGTGTACACACTGATTCATCAATTCTTGGAACCTTCTACCCGAAGCTGTGGTGTCTGCTCTATCGAGAGAAGACTAAACACTCACAGAAGCATAATAGAAAAGGAATAACACAGGTCTACTGTCTGTACTATTCAAATCTGTACTATTCCTGGCAATTTTGGGCTCTCAGCTGACCAAACGTTATTTTGAAAGCGTCAACAGATGGAGCTGTAATCACATGTTAAGGTGATAAATTCCATTCATTGGCGATTCAATTTAAAAGTCCGTGGTCATCTGACACGATGTTTGTTTTGGACTTGTGAACGATTTTTGGAGTGCTCTCGTAAATTCTGTTTCGGAAGACAATAAAAGCAGGGGCATAAAAGATGTTAGGTAATTTAAATACTGTGGTCACATCGACACTGGAAATAGGTTTAGTTTAGTAAGGCATCATACGGTGCTTTACTATTCCGGGGATAAACTTAGTTACTATTCTCTGAACCTTTTCCATTTGCTCACTTAGGGGGGCTAGCTGGTTTTATGCAGAACACAAGGTTATAACTAAAGAATACTGTATGCCAAGCCAGAAATTTTTTACCATCGATTTGACTAACGGCTCTATGTATTGACCATGGGGTTGTAAAGTCTTTGGAGGTTATTGCTCTGTAGTATGCAGTAGTTTTCAAATCTTGGCTAACAATAACTTCCAAGTGATTGTGTGTCTGGACAACAGATAGTCAACTGTTATTCACTGTTTATTTACCTGTACCTTGATGACTAATACACATCACGATGCACTTGGAAGCATTTATCAGCAACTGCCAAATTTTAGACCCCTAAATTATCACCTTTACTTTTATCGCTCTTCACGTCTTGACATCATCTGCATATAGCAAGACCGATGATGATAAGAGACGGGGAAGTTGACTTACATACAGGAGGGGCTATATCGACCCTCGAACAGTATTCCGGAGCACTCCGCTAAGCAAAGTTTCCCAGCTAGATAACTTGCACTCCACCGGTACTCCATGTTGGCGTCACATTGGGAAGTCTCTTATCAGTGCATGCTATGTATATAGGTAACATTTGGTCTTTAAGAGCACACCAGCTTGCACGGGCTACTAATGTAGACTTCAATGTACAAAATATCTCCAAGGCAATTAGTATATTGAAACACTCATACACTGACGGACCAAATGGTATTCCAGCTAGCGTACTAAAGCGTGGAGGTGATGATATGTGTGTTTTGCTTCTCAAACTATTCGCGATATCACTCTCTACGGCGTGTTACCCTAATGCCTGGAAAACTACACATATCATTCTCAAAATGAAAACAGGACCTGAAGCAAATGTGGACAATTACCGGCCCATAAATATAACTTCAGTGGTATCTAGAGTGATGGAAAAAGTAGTTAAGGCGGCTGTAGTTCAACATCTAGATACTAATAATCTCATATCGACCTCCCAGCATTGATTTCTTAGGTCCAGATCATGCGATACATGCCTAGTAGACTACCTGAATGATATAACTCTGAAACGAGAAAATGGACTTCTTGCATCAGTCCTATTCGTAGACTTTAAGAAAGCCTTTGATAAGGTCCCACACAAAAGGCTACTCCTCAAACTAAAGTCCTTCGGAATAAACAACCCACTGTACTCATGGTTTGCTTCGTTCTTAACAGAACGTAAACAGATGGTAAAGTACAATGACTGTCTCTCGTCCCCTAGACCAATCACCAGTGGAGTCATCCAGGGAAGCGTATTAGGGCCACTTTTGTTTCTTATGTATATAAACGATATATGTAACACCATAGAATTCGGGAAACCATACTTATATGCTGATGATCTCAAAATAGTATACAGCTATAAGCCTGAGACACTAAGCGAAAGTGTATCCCAGATCCAAAAAGACCTCAATAACTTAACTATATGGAGTGAAAAATGGCAATTACCATTTAACCTCAACAAGTGCGGGATCATGCACTTTGGAAAGCATCCCTATAAACCGCGACTTCACTTAAATGAATGTATAGTCCAAACACTCGAATCAGTACACGATTTAGGAATTAATTACACAGGAAGCCTAAACTTTGAAGAACATGCCTCATCTATTATTTCTAAATCTAGACGGCTAATTGGTTTTATAATGAGAAACTTTTTCACAACAGAGGGTAAACTTACTCTCTACAAAATATGTGTACGACCCACCCTTGAATACTGCTCTTTTGTCTTCTCTAATATGAATATCGCAGACAAGATAAGAGTAGATGTCCAAAGACGTTTCACACGTCAACTACTAGGATGTAACTTGAATCTCGATTACACAGATAGATGTAAGCACTTCACTTTAGAACCTTTATGGCACCATAGGCTAAGGTACGACCTAATATTTCTCAACAAATCGACATATGGACTCTCATTTCTTACCATCTGTCCGACTATGACCCACGACCAAGCCTATAGACTAAGAAACAACGCATATACACTACTCACCGTGAAACACCAAAAACAAATGCGTTGTAAGTTTTTTATAGTACGGTATAGTTTATGGTGGAACAGGCTGCCAATGCCTATTCGTAA